ACAGAGACCCACAGAGACTCACAGAGACCCACAGACTCACAGAGACTCACAGAGACCCACAGAGACTCAGAGAGACCCACAGAGACACACAGAGACTCAGAGACCCACAGAGACACACAGAGACCCACAGAGACTCACAGAGACCCACAGAGACTCACAGAGACTCACAGAGATCCACAGGGACCCACGGAGACTCACAGAGACCCACAGAGACTCACAGAGACCCACAGAGATCCACAGAGACTCACATAGACTCACAGAGACCCACAGAGACCCACAGAGACTCAGAGACTCACAGAAACCCACAGAGACTCACAGAGACTCACAGAGACCCATAGAGACTCACAGAGACTCACAGAGAACCAGAGACTCACATAGACCCACAGAGACCCACAGAGACTCACAGAGAGCCACAGAGACCCACAGAGACTCACAGAGACCCACAGAGACTCAGAGACTCACAGAGACCCACAGAGACCCACAGATACTCAGAGAGACTCACAGAGACCCACAGAGACCCACAGAGACCCACAGAGACTCACAGAGACCCACAGAGACTCACAGAGACCCACAGAGACTCAGAGACTCACAGAGACCCACAGAGACTCACAGAGACTCACAGAGACCCACAGAGACGCACAGAGACCCACATAGATTCACAGAGACTCACAGAGACTCACAGAGACCCACATTACTCACAGAGACCCACAGAGACCCACAGAGACTCACAGAGAACCACAGAGACTCACAGAGACCCACAGAGACCCACAGAGACCCACAGAGACTCACAGAGACCCACAGAGACTCACAGAGACTCTCAGAGACCCACAGAGACTCACAGAGACCCACAGAGACCCACAGAGACTCACTGAGACCCACAGAGACTCACAGAGACCCACAGAGACCCACAGAGAATCACTGAGACACACTGAGACTCACAGAGACTCACAGAGACACACAGAGACTCACAGAGACCCACAGAGACTCACAGAGACCCACAGAGACCCACAGAGACTCACAGAGACCCACAGAGACTCACAGAGACCCACAGAGACCCACAGAGACTCACAGAGACCCACAGAGACTCACAGAGACTCACAGAGACACACAGAGACTCACAGAGACCCACAGAGACTCACAGAGACCCACAGAGACACACAGAGACCCACAGAGACTCACAGAGACCCACAGAGACTCACAGAGACCCACAGAGACCCACAGACACTCACAGAGACCCACAGAGACCCACAGAGACACACAGAGACCCGCAGAGACTCACAGACACTCACAGAGACCCACAGAGACCCACAGAGACCCACAGAGACTCACAGACACTCACTGAGACCCACAGAGACTCACAGAGACTCACAGACACTCACAGAGACCCACAGAGACCCACAGAGACTCACAGACACCCACAGAGACCCACAAAGACACACAGAGACCCACAGAGACCCACAGAGACTCACAGACACCCACAGAGACCCACAGAGACTCACAGAGACTCACTGAGACCCACAGAGACTCACAGAACCTCACAGAGGCCCACAGAGACTCACAGAGACCCACAGAGACCCACAGAGACTCACAGACTCACAGAGACTCACAGAGACACACAGAGACTCACAGAGACCCACAGAGACCCACAGAGACACACAGAGACCCACAGAAACCCACAGAGACCCACAGAGACTCACAGAGACTCACAGACCCACAGAGACACAACAGAGACCCACAGAGACCCACAGAGACTCACAGACCCACAGAGACACACAGAGACCCACAGAGACTCACAGAGACTCACAGACCCACAGAAACCCACAGAGACCCACAGAGATTCACAGAGACTGACAGAGACTCACAGAGACTCACAGGCCCACAGAGACCCACAGAGACCCACAGAGATTCACAGAGACTGACAGAGACTCACAGAGACTCACAGAAACCCACAGAAAACCACAGAGACTCACAGAGACCCACAGAGACCCACAGAGACCCACAGAGACTCACAGAGACTCACAGACCCACAGAGACACACAGAGACCCACAGAAACCCACAGAAACCCACAGAAACCCACAGAGACCCACAGAGACCCACAGAAACCCACAGAGACCCACAGAGACCCACAGAGACCCACAGAGACTCACAGAGACTCACAGACCCACAGAGACACACAGAGACCCACAGAAACCCACAGAAACCCACAGAGACCCACAGAAACCCACAGACACCCACAGAGACCCAGATAATCGGTGAGGTCACGAGTGGAGGCCGCCGTGACGTCAACGGTGTGTCAGACAGTTTTGACGTCACGAGTGGAGGCGGAAAGCGTTGGTGACGTCACCGGTGTTCAAGCAATCGGTGACGTCATGAGCAGAGGAAGCAGGGGACGTCACTGGCGGAGCAGGAAGCGGTGACGTCACGAGTGGAGGCCGAGGAATCTGCTCTGAACAGCGAGGTGATGATGGTGATGATGGTGGTGATGATGGTGGTGATGGTGGTGGTGATGGTGGTGGTGATGGTGGTGATGGTGATGATGGTGATGGTGGTGGTGGTGATGATGGTGATGGTGGTGATGATGGTGATGGTGATGATGGTGATGATGGTGGTGATGATGGTGATGATGGTGATGATGGTGGTGATGATGGTGATGATGGTGGTGATGATGGTGGTGATGGTGATGGTGGTGATGGTGGTGGTGGTGATGATGGTGATGGTGGTGATGATGGTGATGGTGATGATGGTGATGGTGATGATGGTGATGGTGGTGATGGTGATGATGGTGGTGGTGATGGTGGTGATGATGGTGATGATGGTGGTGATGATGGTGATGATGGTGATGATGGTGGTGATGATGGTGGTGATGATGGTGATGATGGTGGTGATGATGGTGGTGATGGTGGTGATGATGATGGTGATGATGATGGTGGTGGTGGTGGTGGTGATGGTGGTGATGATGGTGGTGGTGATGATGGTGGTGGTGGTGATGATGATGGTGGTGGTGGTGGTGGTGATGGTGGTGATGATGGTGGTGGTGATGATGGTGGTGGTGGTGATGATGATGGTGGTGGTGGTGATGGTGGTGGTGATGGTGGTGATGGTGGTGATGATGGTGGTGATGATGATGGTGGTGGTGGTGGTGGTGATGATGGTGATGATGGTGGTGGTGATGATGGTGGTGGTGGTGATGATGATGGTGGTGGTGATGGTGGTGGTGATGGTGGTGATGGTGGTGGTGATGGTGGTGGTGATGGTGGTGATGGTGGTGGTGATGGTGGTGATGATGATGGTGATGGTGGTGGTTTTGATGATGGTGGTGATGGTGGTGATGGTGATGATGGTGATGGTGGTGATGGTGGTGATGGTGATGGTGGTGATGGTGGTGGTGATGGTGGTGATGATGATGGTGATGGTGGTGGTTTTGATGATGGTGGTGGTGGTGGTGATGGTGGTGATGGTGGTGGTGGTGGTGATGGTGGTGGTGATGGTGGTAGTGATGGTGGTGATGGTGGTGATGGTGGTGATGGTGGTGATGGTGGTGATGCTGGTGATGGTGGTGATGATGGTGGTGATGGTGGTGGTGATGGTGGTGATGGTGGTGATGGTGGTGGTGATGGTGGTGGTGATGGTGGTGGTGATGGTGGTGGTGATGGTGGTGGTGATGGTGGTGATGCTGGTGATGGTGGTGGTGATGACAGGCAATACCACTATTAATATTAATTTTTGGAAATGGGATTTGTACAACAGAGACTATCAGTAGGCCTGGGCTCTGGGTTGTTCTTCGTGCTTTCGGAGTCCCTGACCCTCTGCTCACGATCATTAAGGACCTTCATGATGGTGAGCGGGCCCGGGTAAAACTACGTGGCCGGGAGTCGGAGCCTTTCCCTGTACACCTTGGGGTGCGACAGGGATGTCCTCTGGCTCCCACATTATTTAACATCTATTTTGACCGCGTAGTTCGTGAGGCCTTAAAATGCTGTACCGGGGGAATTTCCATCTGGTACAGATACAATGGGAGGCTGATCGATGCCCGGGTGCAGTCAAGGGATGGCTCCCTATTGGTCAACCACGTTATGTATGCCGATGATTTGGTAATAGCTGCTCATTCAGAGCAGGAGTTGGAGACGCTGCTGCTGAGACTGGAGCGTGCCACTAAGAGGTGGGGCCTTACCATCAGCCCCACCAAAACTAAGCACCTGCCTGGGTATTTATTACCATCGGACACTCCACCCCCACAACTCCCAATTGGTGATGGGGCAGTAGTGGAGAGAGTGGAGAGTTTCCCACTTACCTGGGCAGTGTGCTCATGACCGGCTCCGGTTTGACAGCACCTGCTGGGTCTGCCCCGTGACCTCCTGCCAGCGGGTGATAGCCTCAACGTGCACCTAGCCTGGCACAGGCGTCGTGGTGACGTCACCGCCACTGAGTGAAGAATGGCGGTTGTTGTTGTGGGTTGGTAGGTGTGCGAGTGAGTGGGTGAGCGAGTGAGTGAGTTACGTGGAAAGGGCTTACATCATCACCACCATCGTCACCACCATCGCCACCATCACCACCACCACCATCATCGTCACCACCACCATCATCGTCACCACCACCATCATCGTCACCACCACCATCATCGTCACCACCACCATCATCGTCACCACCACGATCATCGTCACCACCACCATCATCGTCACCACCACCATCATCGTCACCACCACCATCATCGTCACCACCACCATCATAGTCACCATCGTCACCACCATCACCACCATCGTCACCATCACTAAGTTGTTGATTCTCCGTCCTTCTCTGCAGCCCCCTCCAAGTCTCCCCCCCCATCCCCCCGTCACCACAACCACCACAACCACCACCCCCGTCACCACAACCACCACAACCACAACCACCACCACCCCCGTCACCACCACAACCCCCAAGCGATGGAGCTGCCCGCGATCTCCCATCTCCCGCCCCTCCCCACCCCTCCCCCCCCCTCCCCCCCCTCCCCCCCCCCCCACCATCCACCAAGCGTCACACCTGCCCCCACTGCCCGTACGGCACGGATCACCGCGGCGACCTCACCAAACACGAGCGAACCCACACGGGCGAGCGGCCCTACGGCTGCCCCGACTGCGGCAAACGCTTCTCCGTGTCGGGCTCGCTGCGCAAGCACCGCCGCACCCACACCGGGGAGAGACCCTTCGAGTGCCCGGCGTGCGGCAGGCGCTTCGCCGACTCCGGCACGCTGCACAAACACCGGCGCACGCACACCGGGGAACGCCCCTTCGAGTGCCCCGAGTGCCGGCGAGCGTTCTCCGTGCCGGGCTCGCTGCTCAAGCATCGCCGCACGCACTCGGGGGAGCGGCCGTACCCCTGCGCCGATTGCGGCCGACGGTTCGCCGACCGGGGAAACCTTCGCAAGCACCGGCGGGGGCACACCGGGGAGCGCCCGCACGGCTGCGCCGAGTGCGGGCGCCGATTCGCCGACCGGGGAAACCTTCGCAAGCACGAGCGCACGCACAGCGGGGAGCGTCCGTACGCTTGCCCCGACTGCCCGCGGGAGTTTGCCGAGTCAGGGCAGCTGGGCCGGCACCGGCGCGCGCTTCACCGGGTCGGCGAGGGAGGAGGAGGAGGGGGAGGGCGGGCGTCACCGGCGGTGGTGTCGGTGCGCTGCTCCGTGTGCTCGGCTCGCTTTGCCGGGCTGGGCGAGCTCCGCCGGCACCAGGAGTTGTCGCACGCCGGACAGAAGCCGTTTGTGTGCACCGTGTGCCAGGCCACGTTCACCAGGTCCACGCACCTGCGGCGCCACCACAAGGGGCACACCGGGGAGACGGGCGCCGCCGGGAAGACCCCCAAGGCCCCGAAGGCCGGCAAGGCCGGCAAGGCCGGGAGGAAGGCCTCCAAGGGCGGCAAGGGGAGGGCCGCTGCCAAATCTACGGCGGCGAAAAGGGCCAAACGGATCTCCGCCGTCGCCGCGACCGCCAACAACGACGATGACGACGTCAACAACGACGACGTCAACAACAATGACGACGACGTCAACAACAACAACAATGATGACGTCATCAACAATGATGATGATGATGTCACCGGCGTTGTCGTAACCGGCACGGCCGCCCAGACG